AGGGGAGGAGGGCACAGCCCCTGGCAGTCCCAGGCCCTCTCAGCCCAGGGATGCTGGAGGCTGGGCCCGAGGGAGACAAGATCTAACAGGAGAAAAGGCCCGTCGCCTCCTCTCCCTGCCTCCCGCGCCTTCCCGGCGGGGTGCGCCTTACACAATACAAACAAACCCCTGGGTCAGGGGGGCTGCGGGAGGAGACCCAGCACCCCTGCATTGGTCACCCAGGACAGTTTTACAAATATATATATATATAGATTTTATTTCAGAGAGGAAGGGGGAGAGAGAGAGAGAGAGAGAGAGACATCAATGAGGAGAGAGAATCATGGACCGGCCGCCTCCTGCAGGCCCCACACGCAGGATCGAGCCCACAACCCAGGCCTGTGCCCTGACCAGGAATCGAACCCTGACCTCCTGGTTCATCAGTCAACACGAAACCACTGAGCCGCCCCGGCCGGGCCAGGAGGGCTGTTTCTTAAAGGAAATTGTGGTCATGTCTCACTTGCACAATAGAACACAACGTCTGCCGGGGGGAGGACTCCGGGTCAGATACTCCAGGCTGTTTTCCTCCCGGAAGCTCTGGCTTTCCTCCTCTTCATCCCAAAGCGCCCAAACCAGGTCAACCCGCCCAGCCCCCTCTCCTCGCCAGGGGACGCCCTCCCGGGAGGACAGGGACATGGAGGGAGGTCCGTCCCCCTCGAGAAGGTCACGCCCAGCCCAGTGCTGCCCGCCTGCCCTTTCCACTCGCCCCCAGCGGCCTGGGCCTCACCCGGTGCCTCTGGCCAGGCCCGGCCTCCCTTCCCCTCCCCTCTCCTCCCTTCCCCTCCCCTCTCCTCCCTTCCCCTCCCCTCCCCTCCCCTCCCCATTTCTCTTCTTTCTGTCTGTTTGTCTTCCTTTCTGTCTTTCCTTTCTTAGGATGCAACTGGCATTCCCCTCCCCTCCCTTCCAGTCCACGTAGGCAAACGGCCTGGCTTTCCTGAGGCTTCTACGCAGGATCCCGCGGGAGAAATTGCTGCTCCCAAAAAAGCCCAGGGCTTGACGAAGGCCTCACTTGTCCTCCTCACTCTGCAATTTCCACATCAAAGTCGCGGCTCGCTCCCCACCTCAGAGCTCTATTTAAAGAAACCAGCATCTCTGTATCTGTTCTGTGGCGGAATTCGGAAAGACGCTGGTTTTTAGAGAGAGTGGAAGGGAGGGAAAGCGAGGGAAACACTGAGGTGAGAGAGACACATGGATGGGTTGCCTTCCCCACACGGCCCGTTTGGGGGTCTGCGTTCAAGCCTGCGACTGAGTATACGTGTCCTTGACCGGAATCGAACCCAGGACCCTTTAGTCCGTGGGCTGCCGCTTTATCCACCGAGCCACACCGGCCAGGGCTCTGTGGTTGGGATTTGAACTTGAGTCCTTTGTGGCCTGGTCACCACCCCTGGATCTCATCACAGGACTTGCGCTTCTCTGTTACCCATATCGGGAGCCCATAATCAGGAAATTGAGGCTGACATCAATACAGATATATTTTAAAAAGAGAGAGAGAAAGTTCTAGAAAATGGACAGCAAAGCTTGGTTCTCGCTGCTGGGCTGGGGGCTGTGTGTGCTGTGCGCCTGTCCCCGGGGTTCTAAGGGTCGTCTCTGTTCTCTCCCCCGTCCCCCCTGCGGCAGAGCCAGATGGAGTTCAGCGTCTCCTCCTTGTCCATCCAGGAGCCCAGCAGTGGCCCCGCCAGCGAGCCCCGCCCGCCGTCCAAAGCCAGCCAGGCCCCCCAGGCCCTCCGGCCGGCCCAGGGCAGCAAGTCCTCCAGCCTGGACGCCCTGGGCCCCACCCGGAAGGACGAGGAGGCGGCCTTCTGGAAGATCACCGCCGACCGCTCCCGCGGGGAGGGGCCCCAGGCCGAGTTCCCCTCGCTGACCCCCAGCCAGATCAAGTCCATGGAGAAGGGGGAGAAGCTGCTGCCCACCAGCTACCGGCCGGACCCCGCCCCGAGGGACAGGGAGGCCAAGGAGGAGCGGCCCGGCCACCCGCGTGCGGAGCCGCTGGCCCTGCCCGGCGCCGGCGTCCAGCCCGAGGGACCCCCGCCCGTCAGGGCCTGCACCGGGGCGTCAGAGGCGGGCACCCCCTCGGAGCCCGTGGGCCAGCCGCTCTCCCCCGGGGCCGGCCCCATCGATGGGGAGATGGCGGATGAGCTGTTCTCCGAACCCAGCGCCGCACAGGTGGGTGGCCCTGCTCCGGGCGGGTGGGCCCTTCCTCTGGGAGGGACACGGCCGTGTCCACCTGCGGGCAGTTGTGAATCGTGAGCACATACCTGTTCGAGGTCCTGTGTTTGTTTCTGGTTTTTGTTTTGCTAATCCTCACCCGAGGTAGGCTATTTTTCCATTGATTTTTAGAGAGCGTGGAGGGAGAGAGGGAGAGAAACATGGATGTAGGAGAGACACATCCATTGGTTGCCTCCCCGCACGAGCCACGACCAGGGCCAGGGATCGAGCCGCCATTCCAGGAGTTTCTGTGTATTATTTTTTTAAAAAAACACACCCTTTTCAGCGGAAGCCTGTATATTTTGGGGTTCACCACCCCCCAACACCCCTCACCCCTGTGCCCCGGCAGTCCGAGGGCCGACGCTCTGTCCACTGAGCCACACCGCCCAGGGCTCCAGTTCCTGCTTTCAGTCCCTCGGGGTGGATCCCAGAAGAGGCATCGCGGGAGCAGGTGGCAGCACCATGTTTAACTATTTTTTATTGATTTCAAAGTGAAGCGGGAGGGAGAGAGAGATAGAAACATCCATGATGAGAGAGAATCATGGATCGGCTGCCTCCTGCACGCCCCACACTGGGGATCGAGCCTGCAACCCGGGCATGTGCCCTTGACCAGGAATGGAACCCTGACCTCCTGGTTCATAGGTCGACGCTCAACCACTGAGCCACACCGGCCGGCCTCCCCATACTTTTTATTCTCTCAGCTTTGCAAGCTGTGTGTGTGTGTGTGTGTGTGTGTGTGTGACATCAGGAAGACTGTTTGTGACGTGTTCTCTTATTCCGTGATGACTGCATTCACACATGCCTGACTTCCAGAAAAGAGAGAGACACGCTTTTCTCCTTTGCTGTGCGGGTTGGTCTAGACCAGTGGTTCTCAACCTTGGCTGCACATTAGAGTCGCCTGGGAATCTTTTTAAAATCCTGATTTCTGGGTCTCGTCCTCCAGAAATTCTGTTTCTTTGTGATGGGGTGAGGCCACAACGTTAGTAACAGAGAAACAGAATTTCCGGAGGAGGAGGCCCAGAAATCAGGATTTTAAAAAGATTCCCGGGTGATTCTAATGTGCAGCCAAGGTTGAGAACCACTGCTCTAGAAGCTGCTCACAGACATGCCTGGGGGACAGAGAGAAGCTTGGGGATCCGGGCCGAGTGTAGCCTGCATAGAATTTGATTTTTTTAAAAATTTTTTATTGTTGATAGTATTACAGAGATCTCCACCCTCCCCATCCCTCTCTCTCCCAGCCCCTCCCATCCCCCCCGAGGTCTTCATGGGCTGTGCCTATAAGTATATACGTTCCTTGGTTTATCTCTTCTCGTCCCCACAACCCCACATCCAGGCGTGTCGGTCGCATTGAACCTGACTTTTAAATTTTCTGGCTCCAAGTGCCGAGGCAAATGGGGGTCAGGGAGCCTCACGGACGGAAGCCAGCTCCTTCATTTGGGTCATTTTAAATGAGATTGTGTTTTTAGGTTACTCGGCCCTAAAAAAAAATCCTTCTGCTTACGCGGCTGCTCTTGTCTCTCCCGCAGGTCAGCGCGAGCAGTGTCATCCTGAAGACGGGGTTTGATTTCCTGGACAACTGGTAAAACGGGTCAGACACACGCGCACAGACCCCACAGAGAAACCAAGAACCCCCGACGATTCCCGCCGGGCGCGGGCGGAAAGGGCAGCCTCTCCCTGGGGCCTTTCCCGGTCTCTGTACACGGTTATTTTTTTTTTTGAATCTTTTGGAAACTGTAAGAATCGCCGTGTCCAGATTTCCAGAGCTCCCCCCCTTTTTTGCTAAGACCCGATGCATTTGACGTTTCCCACCGATTTGATAA